ACGAGATAGTCTATTTGTTTAATTGGTTTTGCTGGAGTTTTTCGTTTCAGTGAACTTGTACCAATGAAAATGGCTGATTTGATGTTTTATGATTTTTACGTAGAAATTAAGTTAAAATATCGCAAAACTGTTGTTTACAGACCAGGGGATACTGTGTTGAAAGTGAGACAGAATACCGGAGAACGTACTAACCTGACCGACACCAGTTACTAGAAATATACTTCCCCGTTTACCTGATATTCCGATTACCCCGATTATTCGCCTTTCTCTTTTACCTGATTACCCCGATTATTCGCTTATCTCGTTTACCTGATAACCCTGATACTCCCACAACCACGGTAGGTTTCCTCACTCATGGCTCATTGGATAATCTGCTAGAAGTTGGTAAACATTTTTGGTTACCCACTTGTGGATAACACCCTGGATGTGATTTCATTGGTCAATCCATGATAAATGACGTCACTTAACAATGCTATTCGATGTCATTTTCCTTTGTTCCATGGCAAATATTTCCCCCATTTGAAATAATGACGTATTTCCAAGGAAAAAAATGGTTTTGTTTTAGATAAGATACGAACGTTATGGGCGAAACAGATCCCCAAACTCTTGATGATTAGTTATCACGTTTATCTAACTCTCGTCAGTTAATTTCAAATTGTAAAAGACAGTCGGTAAACCTCGTGTCTTCATACATTTTGTAGATTAACTATAAACATGATAACCAACCACCACTCGTTGGGGGACCTCTATTTATTCCACTTTACTCGTTTACCTGATTACCCCAATTGTCCGCTTTCCCCGTTTATCCCGTTTACCCGATTACCCCAGTTTTCCGCCTTTCTCGTTTACTAGATTTTTCGCCTTTCACGTTTACCGGATTACCCCGATCCTTCCTAACAACACTTCTTTTTGAGACTTCGACTTAGGCGTTTATTTATATATATACCTATCAGCCTATAAACAATCCAATAGCCCCTAACCTTCTTTTCTCAACTTTGTCAAGTGTTAAATTTAAGGTTGCGTATGACGATGACCCGAGTGGCAAATGAGAAGTTCACCTGTAAACAAGGATTATTGTATACGAAATCAGTTTTACCGAGTTAAATCGCCGGTAACATACATGTAGCTTTAAAATTTCTAACTAGAATTATATCGGTTTATAACACATGTGTCTGCCTCCTGTCATTCAGGTATATTTATGCAAAGAAAATCCGTTAAAAACCCCACATAGTATGATTTTGGTGCATGAAAGTGATGGTGTAAAATAATAGCAAACTTTCCACATTAAGGAGCATACCAGTAGTCGTTTACGTGCAATATTGCGTCAAAGAACTCATAGTTAATTTTAACAAATATTCCTCAATAGAAAATGTTATTCACTCATAAGAAATAATTAGCATGAAGACAAAAAAGATTTTATCATGAATTAATGTGAAGCTCAACTACAAAGAGATTAATTTTTAATATGGCTATTTCAAACATGATCTAAAATGATTCGTTGGATTGCTAGGTTTCAGTTAAATACATAGAGGTAACACAACGAGTGGTTGTTGAATATGGTATTTATTTCACTCGAGTAAGTTAATTTTCAAAAGTTACAGAAGACACGAGCTTTAGCGAGTGTCTTTCTGAAATTTTTGAAAATTAACTAACGAGACTGAAATAAATACCATACTCAACAACCACGAGTCGTGTGATCTGTTTCTACCACAATATCATGATCAGTCGGAAATAACATACACACATATGTTTGTTGACAAGGCTGGCGTAGTGATATGACCCATATGTAAAATAACTCTCGTTTATATTAAAAAAAATACTTTTTTTTTACAAATTTAAAAAACTTCATGAAATAATTAAAATAGATGAACGACTTTAAATATTGAGAGTAGCAGTATTTTTATTAATTTATATAGATTAACTACGGACTATATGCGCGTAGGCATATCGTACGAAGTCTGCCTCCCGCCAAGTGATGAACTCACCGTAACTCACCGTTGTAGACCAACTTATCACTGTCAATATACAAAACCATTGGCCTACGTTTCTTCGTGACGGTTCTATGGTTGACGTTTATAGTGAAAGTTCAGCCATAGTCAGACCGTCTAAATAGTGATAACGCGACGTTTGGAGAACGAAATATTTCCCGACACGGTGACAGATCGATCTTGTTTTGGTTTCACGACCTGGACACGCGACGGTGTGACGTCGAAACGATTTCGAACGTCTGTAGCAATTTTGCCTGAAACTAGTAATTAAATCTTTAAGTATTATCTTTTCATATTGCCTTAATAACCCCCTTTTCCGGATAACCTCACAAAGTAACCAACATTTGTCGGATGTTGACAGCCGACGACGTAAACAAAACAACCAGTGGCAAAAAGCACGTGGAAAAAGTCTTCCCGGTCAAAGTTCATCTTCTCGACCAATCAAAACTCTTGAAGGTCATATACCACGTGTGTTATATAACTCATATTTATCTAACAGTCTGCGTGTTTATACAACGATATGAGAGTGGAATAACACAGCGTATTGTGATAAAAATATATATACACACTTCTATATGTTTAATTACTAGCGTTAACTCGTACATTAAGAAAGTTAGATTGAGTTACTTTACATAGGAGATAACAGCTCTCACCATTTATATATTTTTCTCACATAAACGAAAAACATGAAATTAACCTTGCACAAATAACCAAAAAATACAACAAACGGCCACTGACATCCAAGCTAAACAGATCAGGCAATGATCCATACAGTGGTCTGGAATTTGAAAGGCGATATTCATTGCACATGGATAAGGAGTACTTGAATGGCAAGTGGAAAGGACGAGATGTCTTGGACTGGAGTGGAAGTCTAGGACCCAAAGAGTAGAGGTCTTGGAGTGGGCAGATAGTGGTTAAGATAAGAGGAAGATAGACAGAGATTGAGAGCAAGTGGGATATGAGATATTTGGTGAGAAGTTAAGAGATATATAAAGTTGTAGTTTAGGTTGAATACCAATATGAATTGTATATGAATCCTGTGAACTTTTGCTGGTCCTGAAATAAATGTATAGTTAACTTGAACTGCGCTTGTTAGTTTTAATTTCGACGGAAATAACAGATAAAGGATGGAATGATGTCAGAAGCGGAAGCATAAAAACGTTCCAAAAGATGTCAGAGTGGAATGCCTGAAAACGTTACAAATGATGTCGGAGTGGAATGCCTTTAAACGTTACAATTGATATTAGAGTGGAATGCCTTAAAACATTACAATTGATATCAGAGTGCCTTAAAACGTTAAAAATGGTGTCAGAGGTGAGATGCCTAAAAACGTTACAAATGGTGTAAGAGGTGAGATGCCTATCAACGTTACAAATGGTGTCAGAGGTGAGATGCCTAAAAACGTTACAAATGATGTCAGAGGTGAGATGCCTAAAACGTTACAAATGGTGTCAGAGGTGAGATGCCTAAACACGTTACAAATGGTGTCAGAGGTGAAATGCCTAAAAACGTTACAAATGGTGTCAGAGTGGAATGCCTAAAAACGTTACCAATGGTGTCAGAGGTGAGATGCCTAAAAACGTTACAAATGATGTCAGAGGTGAGATGCCTAAAAACGTTACAAATGGTGTCAGAGGTGAGATGCCTAAAAACGTTACAAATGGTGTCAGAGGTGATATGCCTAAACACGTTACAAATGGTGTCAGAGGTGAGATGCCTAAAACGTTACAAATGGTGTCAGAGGTGAGATGCCTTAAAACGTTACAAATGGTGTCAGAGGTGAGATGCCTAAAACGTTACAAATGATGTCAGAGGTGAGATGCCTAAAAACGTTACAAATGATGTCAGAATGGAAGGCCTAAAAAAGTTACAGTAGCATTGGAGTGATTCATTTTCCACAATGTCAATACTATTTACATGAACAATCAATATCTGTTTAACATTTATTTTCGAAATTTATAGACAACGCATGTAAATCTTCAAACATCAATCAGACTGCATTCCTTAGTAAAACACAGGATCATCTATTGTGTAACGATCTACTCCAGCGAATGCATAAGCACATCACTCCTATCTATGCATCATATATATTTGTTAAATAAAACTTCAATTACACAAACCTCACACACTGGTTCATATCATAATTAAATATGGAAAGAGAATAATAGAAACGAAATCGCCAGAGCATGCATGTTGTAGTATCAATGCGACACAATATAAGGTTTCCTTTTGATAGCGCAGTTTTCATACCTTTCCAGCGTCAAATTCACATATTTTCTCATTTTATTCCCAAGTTCATGAAAGCGCGATCTTGAAGATCCATTGAGCGCTAAAGAGGAGCTTTTCCTTTTTGATACTAGAATCGCTACCCGTACCTGACAACAGAGGATTCACTATCGGTTGCTCGATTCGAATTCTCTGCTGACGAATCGCGATTCTTACAGGTATATGCCTACAGCCGTCGACGAATATTGTACAGGAGTTTTAAGCATGGATAACTTGTGTCGTTTTATGGCTAGACGACCTCCACGTCCCCACCACACTTCCACACTGTCCAATGGTGGAGTAGCGGTGAAGTGTAGAGTCACGTTCCACCGTGGAGTGCTGGTGGGGGACTCAACGTGGAGTCACGGTGGAAGGCAAAAAACATTACCGCGAAACGTGGGGATTGTATGCGTCCAAACAGTGAGAAGTGTATTTTATTTTCTATTTCATATCGAATGTCTTTCATAAAGTTCCCGCAGGTTAAAAGCTTTTTTTTCAAATATGTTCTACATTTGTCTCATGATTAAGGTCATGCATTAAAAAAGTTTCAAAGACTTGTAAAGTCAAGCAATTGTAAATAAAACGTTGATAATACTGTCGTCGGTATTTGAGGAACGCTGTTGTCATGTGTGGAGTCTTTTATTATCGGTAGACTGTTGTCAGGCATGGAGTCTGTTGTCCTAGGTAGGCTGTTGTCAGGCATGGAGTCTGTTGTCCTCGGTTGGCTGTTATCAGGCATAACGTATGCTATCCTCGGCTGGCTGTTTTCAGGCATTGAGTCTGCTGTCTTCGGTAGGCTGTAGAGTGGTGTCCTTGATAAGCGGTTGTCAGGCTTGTAGAGTGGTGTCCATGGTAGGCGGTTGTTTGTAGCTTGTAGAGGGGTGTCCTTGGTAGGCGGTTGTCAGGCTTGTAGAGTGGTGTCATTGGAAGACGGTTGTCAGGCGTGGAGTTTTGTGTCCTCGGTAGGCTGTTCTCAGGCTTGTAGAGTGGTGTCTTTGGTAGGCGGTTGTCAGGATTGTAGGGTGGTGTCCTTGGAAGGCGGTTGTCAGGCTTGTAGAGTGGTGTCCTTGGAAGGCGGTTGTCAGGCTTGTAGAGTGGTGTCATTGGAAGACGGTTGTCAGGCGTGGAGTTTTGTGTCCTCGGTAGGCTGTTCTCAGGCTTGTAGAGTGGTGTCCTTGGTAGGCGGTTGTTAGGCTTGTAGGGTGGTGTACTTGGAAGGCGGTTGTCAGGCTTGTAGAGTGGTGTCATTGGAAGGCGGTTGTCAGGCGTGGAGTTTGGTGTCTTCGGTAGGCTGTTATCAGGCTTGTAGAGTGGTGTCTTGGGAGGCGCTTGTCAGGCTTGTAGAGTGGTGTCATTGGAAGGCGGTTGGCAGGCGTGGAGTTTTGTGTCCTCGGTAGGCTGTTCTCACGCTTGTAGAGTGGTGTCCCTAGTAGGCGGTTGTCAGGCTTGTAGGGTGGTGTACTTGGAAGGCGGTTGTCAGGCTTGTAGAGTGGCGTCATTGGAAGGCGGTTGTCAGGCGTGGAGTTTTGTGTCCTCGGTATGCTGTTATCAGGCTTGTAGAGTGGTGTCCTTGGTAGGCGGTTGTCAGGCTTGTAGGGTGGTGTCCTTGGAAGGCGGTTGTCAGGCTTGTAGAGTGGTGTCATTGGAAGGCGGTTGTCAGGCGTGGAGTTTGGTGTCCTCGGTACTCGGTTGTCAGGCTTGTAGAGTGATTTCCTTGGTAGGCTGTTATCAGGCTTGTAGAGTGGTGTCCTTGGTAGGCGGTTGTCAGGCTTGTAGAGTGGCGTCATTGGAAGGCGGTTGTCAGGCGTGGAGTTTGGTGTCCTCGGTACTCGGTTGTCAGGCTTGTAGAGTGATTTCCTTGGTAGGCTGTTATCAGGGCGGTTGTCAGGCTTGTAGGGTGGTGTCCTTTCAGGATTGTAGAGTGGTGTCATTGGAAGGCGGTTGTCAGGCTTGTAGAGTGGCGTCATTGGAAGGCGGTTGTCAGGCGTGGAGTTTGGTGTCTTCGGTACTCGGTTGTCAGGCTTGTAGAGTGATATCCTTGGTAGGCTGTTATCAGGCTTGTAGAGTGGTGTCCTTGGTAGGCGGTTGTCAGGCTTGTAGGGTGGTGTCCTTGGAAGGCGGTTGTCAGGCGTGGAGTTTGGTGTCCTCGGTAGGCGGTTATCAGGCTTGTACAGTGGTGTACTTGGAAGGCGGTTGTCAGGCTTGTAGGGTGGTGTCCTTGGAAGGCGGTTGTCAGGCATGGAGTTTGGTGTCCTCGGTAGTCTGTTATCAGGCTTGTACATTGGTGTCCTTGGTAGGCTGTTAACAGGCGTGGAGTGTGGTTCTCTTGGTAGAGTGTTATCAGGCTTGTAGAGTGGTCTCCTTGTTAGGCGAATTTAAGGCGTGGTGTTTGGTTTTCTCAGGGACCTTATATCTATATTTGGACCTTAACTTAGGTTTTCCGAGTTATTTTTTATGTTTTAGGAGTTTAGATCGACTTTCGGTAAAAATGATTCCTCCAATGATCATATATATGACAAGGGCGGAAAGCTCTCGATATCAAACCTACCTTTCTTGCAACAAAAACAACATTTCTAGTTGATCTAAGGGAAAATGCTAAGTACCTTTAACAATATGGATAATGTTGCTTTTAAAAACCTCCGATATGCCCGTAACATGTATTCTCCTTTCGCGGACATTATCTCCATTTCCTCCAAAAAGCCCCGCCATTTCAGAGTTGCGCATTTTTTTCAGTTAGCGTACCATTTTTTTTAAATATTTAGGTTGAGGTAAGCGGGCGCCGAAATATGCAATGTTGGTTGGTTTAGCGAAAAAATGACTGGGCTTCAAGCCAAGCGCACCACCGGTTTCGGCACGCGATGACCTACATTTATAAATATTAAAAAAGTGGCACGATGACTGCGAAAATCTTTGAAACTCTGAAACTCTTGAATATTAGTGTTTCTCCACTTTCAGGTTTGTGATGTACTTGTATTAACTTTTGTTTTTATTTTGGTTTTAACGGATGTTACATTATGTACCAATTCTCTGGAAACTGAAAAAGTTGAAAAAACAAACACATCCGAGCGATAGTCAGCGACAAACGCTGATGTAGTGATTAATATGGTCATATCCAGACTTGCACATTTCTATACCGACCAAAACTTTGATTTGTTAAATATGCTCGTAGCTACCAAGTTTATATCATAATTAATCTGGTATCAAAACGATAATTTCAGAAAACCGAATTACACTATTGTATCCGAGTGTGCCTTTAAATTAGAATCAAGTTGACTAAAGCATTTTACTGTGTAACTCAGGGAAGTGATATTGTGCGTACGCGGACGTAAGTGGCAGTTCGGCCGTGTCAATTCAATTTCAGGTTATATTTCCTTATTTAAAGTTTGATATGCATTTACCACTTATATCGGGCTTCAATGTCAAAATATATATACAATTGGAATTATTATAGGTATTTAACAATTGAAAAAGACAACTTGTCCTCGTGTAAATTCGAAACATACTTTTTCTTTCTACAAATAACCATATCTAAACAAATATCCAAGTAAAAAACATAAAATCCTTTCAATGTAGCAAAATGCATTTTTGAAAAAAATAAATTATTTCGTTATATGGACAAACCAATTTTACTTTAACATATTGGTGCATTCGATTATAAAATATGAAATGTAAGAGAAACAATGGGAACAATTTTATTGAAAATTAATAAGACTAATGTGGGATCGCACAACGTTACACGATGTGCTATGCGCGAGCGATAAGCGCACGGTAACGTTCTGGACGATTATTGCTTGCGCACATTTGTGCGGACGATAGACGAACGCTGTGCGATGAAAATCGTGGTTGATGTAAATTAGGAAATGGCTTTACACTATATACGGTTTCGTGTTTAATCATACACTTGATGTTCTAGCTCCATTGATAAGCTGATCTTTCCATCTATATTTCTAAAATTTGGAAATGGTGTTTTCGGTATGTATTATACGACCCGAATCAAAACATATAAAATTATTATAATACAAATGGACACGGTTCCATATACAGGTACACATAGCCAACCGGGGCACATATATGACTCGTCAAGGTGTGAAAATCCAGGTGAAGGGGAGCTATATATCTAAAGGAATGTAAATAACAAAATAACAAATACTTAACGTCCATTTTTATTTTCATAACGGTCATACGGTATCACATATCAGCTCTCTATGCCAGCCACAGGGCGCCAGGTAAAACTCTGATCACTCATTTAAATGTTATTTACCTGTTCTGGTACCTCACTCTGGACAATCTAACATTCACTGTTATACTATGTAACGCGCATTGTTAAATGGAACATTATTTTAATTGATATGATGCGAAATGTATATACATGTACTCAGTGTCCCATATTAAATACAAGCCTCCCAGATTGATTTAATTCCGTAATATTGATCAACCAATTGTACCAAATTGTACATTGTGAGGTGAGAAGCGCACAACGGGGTAAACGATTGTTAAATCGCACAGTTGTTTCATTTCACATTTTATCTATTGAATATTGCATCTTATGCAAATTTCAAAAGGAATTGGACAACAGGCTTAATGCCTATACAAGCCCTCTCCTATGGAATGGACAATGTATATCATAATAAATTTATTGTGAAATCATTTTAAAGTTTTTTTTTTCTTCTACATTTAGGACAGTTGTGCGCACCATGTCTGGACGATGTGCGGACGGTGTGCGCATGATGTATGCAATATGTGCGCACGCTATTTTTGGTGCGTTGTGTGGTCAAATAACTGAATCTCCATATCCAAAGGAGCGAGCCAACCGACTACTCTTTATACCAACGGAACGTTTTCTGCCTACCTTATCACAAACAATCTATATATATTTGGCACCACAGAACAGGTTTATTTTACGTGGGAGATTTACGTGTTCATGAAAGCCGAGTCCTTAAACAGAGATGTCCAATGCCGTATACATTCGTTATGAATGTATCTGCTTGAACACCGACACGTAAAAATCGGACATATTCAGATACATTCTCACTTAAAATCGAGCTCGTTGCCTGCTATGATAAAATCAAAATGTGAAACGAATATATAAACAAATAAATATATAATATATATATATAAATAAATAAATAAATGAATGAATCAATGAGAAGTATTGATGAATCTTATCATTTATTAAATAAATATAACCAGATGATGAGGATGAGAAGGATGATGAGGAAGATGAGGTTGCTGATAATTTCAATAGTAGATATGTGTGAAAGTGTGGATGTGTGTTGATGTGATGTTCTGTATAATATACATGTTGTGAAAATCTTGGAAAATAGAAAAATAAAATAAAAAAAATAAAAAAAAAAATATAAAAAATATAACCACAAGAGTTGACGGAGGACTTGGTGCCAAAACATGATGAAAGTGATACGGATAATTGTACGAACTTGTTCAGATTTGTTTGTTATGTAAATGTGAATGTTTCTGTTGTGTAGCGTTTAACAACACACAATTTGAATTATTTCCACTGGACATACCATCAACCGATATCGTATTACTGCTAAACTACATGTTAGAATTGTGTAAGTTCTGTCGCATTACATGTTTTATGTTATGTTTCCTTTCCGCTTTTCAAGAAACTGTTACTGCCAGCACATTTTGACGATATTCTGAAGATAAAAGACTTGTTTTTTATTGCGGTATAAAAAAAGCAGATTAAACAAGTGACATAGAAAATACTGGGTGTAACTTGAACTCCGTAACCATACTTTCTATAATGTTGGACAACAGCGCTTTCTTGAGGTTGACGTAATAATAACTATGATATATTATCGTTTGAATGTACTTTAAATATCAAGCGAATAAAACAACTATTCAGTAATTACTTGTCTCTTTGGGTTAAAAGTCCTCGTAACAGCAACGGTCAGATGAGGTCGGATGCCTGGGGAGGTATCACAGGTATTAGATAGTGTATAGAAAATAAAAAAGACAGAAAAGATAGAAAAACATAAAAAATAAATAATGTTGGAACGGGGTCAGCAAATCAATTTTGATGTCCTCCTTGTCCTCTTAATAGAACACACAAAAGACAAAGGGGTCCACATTAGTCGCCTCTTACGATACACATACAGCCGGGTACAGTAGGTCAATAGAAAGCAAGCAGGAAACCAGCACCGATGCTGTAGGGCAGAACAATACAGTAAAGAGAGTGTGAACTTGAATCTATAAAACGTGATTTTTAATAAAAAAATATATATAGATAGAAGATTACTTCGACTATGTTTATATAATCATATATTATATTACTTATCAAATATATATACAATGATATCTAGCAATCTAAATGGTAAATAAACTCTGACATTATTCATACTTTTTCAATAGCATTTCATTTAAGATAATCTATTTTGTTACATCAAGCCAAAAAACGTATGCAGGTTTTTTTATGAAATAGTCTTTCTCGAAACATTTTAAAGTAATATTATGTACAAAAACACTTAAATAGCGTTATATGATATTTCAACAACGTGACAATGAAGCATTAATTGGTAAGCGTATTAAATACATGTCAAAAAAAGTGTATTTTGAAATAAGGGAAGGCTACTGTTTATAAAAAACAACAACACTGCAATGGAACAGGGAACCCTAAGATTTCGCTATATGGTAATAGGTTCCATACAGAAAGTATGGAAAACATAAAAGCATAAACTGTATTTTGCAACAATAAATAAAACAATTTTGTATTAACTTACATAAATATATATATATATAAATATTATTTTCCCTTATAGACCCTGAGGGTAGCACTCAAAAGATGTTGATGAGGAAGGATAACGAAAAACCGTGGAAACCCATGCGGTAGGGTGGTCCTGTTCATTTACACGTCGGGTCGAGAAAAAGAACCCGGCCTTCGATGTGAAAAGCAGATGACGATGGAGGATTCAAATTCTTCATATACTTTCGCTCCCTTGCAACTACGAAAGTGATTGTAGAAGGAATGTCGACACAAGATTGGGCCTATGAAGCACCACTTTTAAAGTGTTTTCTTCTTGAGTTGTTATTACAAGGGCAAAGTGACAGTGATAAATAAAGGTTTCCTACAAAAAAGTTTTCGTTTATGGATTTTAAAAGGGGTCCAACTTTAGTCGCTTCTTGGATTTATACAATATGGTACAGCGGCCTTATTAAGTGATTTGCGCAACTATAAGTCTAATGTTTGTGTGTTTTAGTTTTCACGTCCTATTGACAGTTATGGGATTTAAGGACGGGCCAGGTTTTGGGACTGGGGGGAAAACGGAGAACCCGGAGGAAACCATCGATCTGCGGTCAGTACCTGGCGACTGCCCCACGTAGGCCTCGAACCCTCGACCTAGTGGTCGAGGGCTAGTTATCGGACACGGTCCGATGCGTGAACAATTTGGCCATCGTGGCCCTTTCAATCTTATGTAAATATCATCATTTCGTAAAAGATGCGATTAGTGTAAATAAATGCAATGTTTATACACCGTTACTTCGCCGAAACGTTCATATAATCTTCGATTTCCTCGTACACATCTTCATCGTCTTCATCACGGATGCGAACAATTGGTTCAGGAACGTCATTGTTTGTACCGGTATTAAGATACATTTCAGGATCTTGTTCTTGTTTTGCTCCAGGGATGATATAGTAGTCTTGTTTGTCAGTTCCATGAACTTCAGAGTTGCTTACATCCTCATAGGATTCATCAGTAGCACTTGCCTCTCGTTGCTTTCCATTCTCGCAGTGACCTGGTATGCCCTTGTTGACGTCACTAAATATGTAATGATAAACAACGATTGTTGTTAATAAATCGTACAACCTGTTAATTTGCTTAGGCCAACTTATTATTTCTGGATATATGATAAGAGTATATATTTGGAATACAACACTATTAATATGACTTCCGTGATTTCCTGCGGATAGCCCGCTACACCGTATATCCCGCACAGCCCCCAATCAGCAGCATGTTAACAGATAGCCCACACCGGCAGATAACCCGCGGTTTATACGGTGGGCATTTCTGTTAACAAACGTTTACTCTTATCGGCAGCTGAAATCCCCGAAGTCACTCCTTTTTATGGACAAAATGACAGCAAACAAGCAGGATTGTGTGAAAACAGAACTCAAAACAGAAAATACCGAAATTGCCATTATTACAGGTGGTTTGACCAAAACACTACAGCCGCTTTATTTAACAGTAACCCGCGTGTCCAAAGTAAAAGTAATGCGAACGATGGATGAATGAAGGACTGCACTCGTACACAAACACAGGACGCATGCGTCGTGCAACGTATGCGGAAGTGTGCGAGTGGGTTTGAAAGTATGGCGAGCTGTTGACCGGAAAATAATGCAAGAGAGCCGTCGCCAAGGCCGAGATAGCTAGCATTGAGCAAGTGTGTAATACACAGGACCCAGGACTCGGACAGTGATGACGATCTTCTACTAGCCGAAGTAGCGCGAGTTTACCGGCAGCAAGTGAATTGTACAAATATTTAATGTTAATGTATAATCAATAAATTATTGCATACAATATTTTCCCATTTGATTTGTTCTTTTACACCACAGATAACCCGCAGGATATCGACGACTTATGTAGAAAACATTGACAGATAACTTGCGAAGGTAGATAGCCCGCAGGGGGGCAGGGGGTCGGTAGCAGAGTTTGTCGAATTTAAAAATAAAGCGATATAAATTTTGTGCTTAAAACATAAGCCTTGTTAAATACGTATTATTTTTACACCACAGATACATACAGATGCATATTGTACTTACGGTAGCTTTCTTTTTTCTTTCCTTTCGTTGTGCAACTTGACGGTATCACCTACAAAAACAAAATTATATTTTTGCAGGCAGTTTAAAGAAATATATGATTAAACGTTTTTGCAAGCTTGGAATCTGCAGCCGTCGATACATATCAATAGATGATTGCAGAAACTAATTTTCACCTATCGCTTTATTTTGAGTTTAAGTTTGTTAGTTAGTAAGATAACAAAGTCATGCGGATATCGTGTCTACAGAGGCTATTCAGGGACAACTCTCAAGTGTCATTTCACTTCAACGTTATGACCCAGACGTTAGGGATAGATGCCTCATGCTATCAAAGTATAATGATGATAAACCGACTGGAAGTGCCAAGGCCCAGGGAAACCCCGTCAAGAGAGGGGTAGCCAGGTTTAGGCTATGCAGGGCTTAAAAGATCTATAAACAGCAATCGCTATTGAAACTCGGGGCATCTTCTCTGGAAAGCGGTTACCGGATGTTATGTTCCGGATTTACACATCAATGTTTACGTTGCTTTGTACCTTTGTAATCAGAAGTTCACATAACTTTCATTATGTCACTTCATGTACATTACAGTAAAATGCGAGCTTATTATTATTTCTTTTTAATTTCATATCATTGACGCATGGGTCGATTAAGTGCAGTTTCATTAAGGGTAATAGTTATGTCAATATTTCGACTACTAAATATTAATAATGTATTTAAATGATAAGTAAAAAAGTACTAATTGTAATGGGAAACCATTACAGATGTCCCCAAAACTGCCCCCATAGTTGCAAAGATGCATCCGAAAAGGATCGCATTGCCATAGTATACCTACAATGTACATACTAAATTTGAGTGAAATTGAGCAATATCTAAATTGCGACCAATCAGAGGCCTCTGTGTGGTTGCTATGGTAACGAAGCTTTTGCGGTTTAATTCGCAGTCCCTTTCTTTCCCTATATATTAATTTTCATCAAAATCGAACAATATCTAAATTTCGACCAATCAGAGGCCGCCGTCCGACTGACCAGTCGGTTGACCGTTCGAAAAACAAAAAATACTCCTGCCATACACAAACACTCATGTGAAGTTTCGTTGAATTCCACACTACGGTTTTCCAGAAAAAGTGGGAAACCTCGTCGGCGGAAGAAAGTGGAAGAAATAAGAATAATAATAATAACTAGAATTGCAATTGCGAGCAATAACGGAAGTCACCCTCACCCACTAATTAAACGGCCATTTTTTTCACAAAATGAACAACGCAGTCATGTTCGTAGAGCCATGCTACACATCCATACCAAATGTCATCACAATTGGACGATATTTAAATTTCGACCAATGAGAGGCCAGGAAATGGCAGCCATTTCGTCGAAATGTGAAACTCAGGCTACGAAAGTGACCGGTGTCCCATGGTATACTTACATACTAAATTTCATGAAAATCAGACAATATTGAAATTTTGACCACTGAGAGCCAACGAAATGGCAGTCATTTAGTTTTTTCACAAACAAACATCGCAGTTGTGTTCGTAGTGCAATACTACACCTATTTACAAAATTTCATCAAAATTGGACGATATTTAAAGTTTGTCCAATCAGAGTCTGTATTTGGCCGCCATTTTGGTTTCGGCCAATCAGAGGCAGCGGCGGCCATCTTGATGGTTGACGCGGAAAAATAAGAGTCAGATGCACAACTACAAATTGTACTTATAATAAATGCAAAGTATGATAAGAATCCCATAAGCAGTTCTTGAGATTAAGCACGGAAATTTTTATTTCGGAAAAAGAATAATAAGAATTATAAGAATAAGTAAGAAACGGAACAATAACAATAAGTCACCCGACATCGTTTGGAGTGACTTAATAATAAGAGACGGAGCAAAAACAATATGTCCCCAAACTTTGTTTGGGGGACATAATAATCACATATATAACAAATTAATAATATATGCATTATTGTTTTAATTTGTGTATTCAACTGTTAATTATTCATGTTGGATATATATATCATACCATGCAGGTGCATGACGTGACCTGTTCAGATCGCAAGCCAAGTAATATACAACATGGCAGCGTATTACTTACGCTTTGCTGTAGTCAGATGAATCTTTTGAAATAATTCAGTTGCTAAAACTATATACACGGTTGGGTTTTATTTTTGGACACCTTATAATGCTATTTGATAACTCTTGATCAGTTAATTAGCTGACGTTTGTTTATTCGTTACATACGAGCTGTACCTGTATTCAGTATATCATCTAGGGACCCTTCAAGTATTGCGTTGTTAACAAAACACATGCACGTGGGTAAAACAGGTACTAGTATATTATAGGTGTGGCTAGTAAACTATGTACCTGTGAGTAGATGGACTGCTAAAAGTAAAATTTAAAGATGTATACTTACTTGCAAACTTTCATTTTTTGAGGGTTACTACCGATTTCGAACCCCCACCCCATGGATATTCAAAAAAGTTGGCAAGTAAGTGTATATAAAATTCACTATTTTGTATTTGTCATTTGACACAAAAATACTGGTGATATGTCTGTTAAAGGAGAAGAAAAAAAAAAGAACGACCAGACATGGTCACGGACGATTGACCCAATCCCGTTGCGCTACATTCCTCCCACCTTAACTAATTGTGACATTTCAGACCAAATATTTGGCCGTTATTTTGTTTATCTTTTTTTTTTTAATTTGAAGATATACAATGTATCTGAATAATTTATTTCTAATTTGATTTGTGTTTTTCTACATCAGGAATGGGGTAAATGCTGAGAGAAAAAAATCAATATTTTTCCTGAATACCGGAATTTTTAGCTCAAAAACAGCAGATTTATCATTTCGTTGTATTATTGTACATAAAAAGTCATCAAAAGTTACAAAAATATTTTTCTGATGAGTATTTAAAAATTTCAACTATTTTAAAGTCTGAGATTTTTGCATCTGATGCAAAACCTTGTATAATTATATAACTTGAAATCCTGACATTTGAGCTGTTTTCAGACTGAATATTGATCTACTCAATAAAATAAATTTTTAATTATGTAAATTAACAAAATATTTTACACCTGGAAGAATTCTACTATTTTTAACTTTTGAATTTGGAGAAAATACTAGAATTTCGGGGAAATCAATAGTTTTTGAAAAGATACACTTTTTTTTCCTCATAAAATGTATATTTACAGTTTTATTTTCATACAAAATCACAGAAGATAACCAAACTAACTTTCTGAGAAGATTCTTGTTTTGTTGTTGTATTTTTTTCATATTTTTTTTTGTATTAGCTGGCACACCGCACTTGGCATACTTGATAAAATCATTACATTTCAGCTAGTTGCAGACTTACTATTTTGATATTATGTTAGGTATTTGAGGAAATTTGATAATTTTCAAAATGTGGATGTTTTCAGAAAAATAAATTTGTATTTCTCAAAAAACACTGAATATGTACAGTATTCACTGCCGTATATCAGTACGACATTATTGTATACTGGAGTTTATGTACACGGATCTATATATTTCACGTCTTTAACTTATGTAACCCATGCACGGATCAGTAAGGCTACCATAGTTTGTTCATATACAAAAAAAAAGTAAATGACCACCTGCCATACATAAGATTTGAGAGTGTACATTTAAAAAACGCAGAAGAAATATGTTCATCAGTTACCTTCATGAAGCTATCACATTCAATATTTTGTTGTAACATTCCTTCTTATAAAAGCAATCAAATGGACAACGATATCTCGGAAAAGTCGACCATAACAACAACATTCAGTAATGTCAACGTAGTTTTCCATGTGATGATTACTTTACGATACCACGATTTCCAATACTGAAATATATCGCTTCTACAATGATTTTTCAGCTTAGATTTAAATAATATAATAAAAAACCGGCAGTCCAATAGAAATGCCCTTTTCAAACATTCCGGTATCCTTAGAACCATGCAATAATTCCTCTGTTCAAAGTAATTTGACATGTTTAAGTTTTTTTTTATCGACTTTAGGTTAAAATATATATCGTATAATTTATCATTAAGGTTGGCATTTTAACCGTAAGTCGTAGCACCTATACCAACAGCGAATGATAATTTATAACAATAAGTAACTTAACACGTTGCTTAAGTGTACATACCGATACACATTGTTAAATTTAGTCAATACTCCATTCACTTAGTTTCTTTGTTGACCAAAGCTAACAATTATCGTTCTTAGTTCTATCCGGATATGCACAACCGCCTACGCACAATTAATATCTCCGCATAGCAATTGTCCGGAGTCCGCCATCCGGCATACTGTTTTTTGCTTATCAAGCCCGAGTGTCAATAGCAACTCCGATTTATAAAGGGGTCCGACTCGAACTGTACAATAGGATATAGCGGGCCAGTAATGTTAAGGTGTTTTTGCCACTGCATGAAAAACATGTTTTGATTGTTTGTTTTGACAATAAACAAAGCAACGCCTTGATAACTAATTTGCGCAACTATTAGTCTATTGTTTGCGTGATTTAGTTTTACGTCCTATTAACAGATATGGCCATTTATGGACGGGCCAGGTTTTGGTACTGGGACAAAACGGGGAACACGGAGAAAATAATCGACCTGCCGCCAGTACCTTGCGACTGCCCCACCCTCGACCTATTGGTTGAGGGCTAGTTATTGTAGACGGTCAGATATCTTAACAATTTGGCAAACGCAGTCACTTGAATCTAATGTAAATATCACCAATTAGTAAAACGTTCGATTGGTGATAAATAAATAAAATGGATATACAACATTTGATATAGCGCCCTATCTAGCTAACATAAGCCACTCTTAAAGCGCCTTACAGTACATATATATACAATTAGCATATATTTTTATCGATACAATATTGAGGAATGCTACAGCACAGATACCACTACACCCAGACCAGACCATTTTATACTCCACCTGGGTAGTACGAGTTGTGTGGACAGGAGAAAAACACTTTCTCTGAATATTCCATGCGACTTCGGGGATCGAACCCCGGCCGCCTGCGTGGAAGGCCGGAGTGTTAACCAATCGACCAATCCGCATCACGGATGCAACAATTAGTTCAGGCACTACATTATTGTATCAGTATTAAGAAATGTTTATCTACCTTGTTCCGTTTCTGCTCCAGGCTTTTCCATGATGTAGTAGTCTTGTTTGTTATTTCCCAGATCTTCAGTGCTGCCAATATCCTCATAGATGTCCCCAGTACTGCTTGCCTCTCGTTGGTTTCCATTCTCGCTGTGATCTCGTATGTCCATGTCGACGTATCTAAATATGTTATGACGTATAACGTTTCAATTTGCTTTTGATTAACTTGGTATTTGTACATAAATTATTAGATAATATATGGAATAAACCACCATTAAAATGACAAGGTGAGTTGGTTGAATTAAAAAACGCGAAATAATTATTGAGCTGACAAACATAGGCCTTGTTAAATACGTATTGTTTTTACACCACATATATATATATATACATATTGTACTTACGGTCGATTTGTTTTTTCTCTCCTTTCGTTGTGAAATATGACTGTATCGCCTGCGGAAACACAAATATAAATTTGTTTATGATAATTTTAAGAAAAAATGTATTTAAGCGCATTGCAAGAGACGTTAGCTTGGACACTGCAAAACTGGTTCTCACATATCGCTTTATTTTGAGTTTAAGTTTGTTAGTTATTAAGTGTACGTAAGGCTTTTAGTAATTGCAATAACAAAGTCATGCGGATATCGTGTCCACAGAGGGTATTCAGGGACAACTCTCAAGTGTCTTTTCACTTAAACGTCATGACCCAGACGTGATAGAATGATATATCAAAGTATAATGATGATTAGTTGACTGGAATTGCCAAGGTCTAGGGAATCTCGTTTGCCCATGTCAAATAATAGGTAGCCAAAAGGTTCTGTGGGGTTTAAAGGATCTATCAACAGCTCGGGTCATTTAAGGACGCGTCACTATATTTATTGTGAATTCGCGTATGTGTGTTGGAGGCAGGGTATGTTGGTGTACCTGCCTCCCTGTGATAGCGCGGATCTGATGCCGACTTAACAGTGCTACCTGAATGAAATATCATGCTGAGGGATCCCAGCTCACCATTCCGCCCGGTCACATTATACTGATACACGGTGAACTAGTTGTCATTACCCTGAATTTTGAACGTTAAATATGGAATAACAACTATCATTGCAAGGACTTCGGTATGACCTGGCCTGGGCATATAACCCATAGTCTTCCTCAACTGATAACATTCAACATTAAAACCAAAAGTGAAGTAATGGAATGGAACAGTAGCTGGTCTTGTACAAGTCTTCAAACCTAGCATTTTAGCATTTTATGACACCTTAAGCAATAGAAGTAGAACATATTGTTCAGTATTGTAAATTTAACAATCGATTTTCGATAGACTTGTGATATAAATGCAGCCGATCTTTTCTCTTATAAGGTAGTTCGTATCATGGACGAGCGCGATATACGAATATCTCTCAGGTCAAGGTTACTTTGCTTTTTATGTATTTTTTTATTTTTCAGAGTTTTGGTCACAGTACATTACACTATCAACATTTAAGATGTGTTCTAATCCGCACAATTCATACTTTGCCTTTAATTACCTAATTTAAATTGATATTGTATTCAACTACACAAAAAAAGGATAAAAACACCTATAGTAAATGATAAGCAAAAAAAAAAAGTTTTTTCGGAGTGAACATTTTAACATTGAACTTAAATGTATGTTATGTTTTTAAAATAAAGGTAAGAAAGAAATACAGAAATAGCAGGAGACAATCAAGAAGTAGGAAGGAAGGAAATGGTGTCCTAGGACATGGCAATAGTTTACTACATACACTTACTTGGTTTTGTCTGTGAGGACCTTTTCCGGCAGTAAAGGTGAACTACTATATGCACAATGACAGTGATGATGCAGACAATACAAATCGTTGAGGCTAAAGCGATCAGTAAAGTATCATCGCTTTGTTGTTCCGTTTCTGTAATCAAGTAAACGACATTAATAACAACATGGCCTTTTTATTCCAGTGCATGCATGATAAATAATAACGCCATTTTTATGCATGACGTGACAATTCGACACCAATAAAAGACGTCGGAAAATCGAAAACAAACGACAACTGCAATTAAGTCACTGCCATAATGAGCCAATTGAAAGCTGATATGCTTATTATAACTTTAGGTATTAGTAGTCAGGAATCTGGTATTATATGTTCTGCAGTTAATATCGTAAACAAAAATATTCAGGTTAAAACCAATAATGCAATACATAAGTAAAATACAGCATGAGCACTACTACCTCAACCAAAATACACGGTGATTACAAGTCCGATATGAAATATCCAAATGTGTAGTTTAGCAAAATAGTTTGATCAGGTTTACTTGTAAAATATACAAGACCACATACAATCAATTAGATGTTAAACTCGGACGAAGTGTTATTCTGATGTAACCGCTATTTTCATTTCAGATATATGACTTAGATGTAACCAATTACATTACTTAGTAACTTTAAGAAACACCCGAATGTTACAATTTATTAATGTTAAACGCATTTAAAAAATATTATTCCAAGAGATACATAGATTTCTACAAAATCACTTATGAACTTGTAAGATCCTTTTTGAGCACCTTTGTCCCTTTCTGAGTTACACGTTCATTTATATTTAGAGTGTCTCAAAATGTGAAGATGTTATTAAACACAATGTAGCGATGGTTCCCGTTGATTTGTTTATTCACAAACATTCTTGTCATATCTTCCAGTGTTACGAATTCAAACTTACTAAACATTATACAAACAGTAGGCATAATGGGGTTTGATAAACTGTATACAGGGAAAACTTCGGGCATTCAAACTATCGCTCTTTGCTCGAAAAAAGGCGAACATTTCACTGCATCAAATTTTCCGGTTATAGTACTTAAAAAATCAGTTGTCCTCTCATAATTTGTAAAAGTAGCTCACATTATACTTGTAAGAAAAGGAAGAAGTAAGAGATAAAACGAATTATGTTTTAACGTTTACGTGACTTTATACGTCTCAAATGTAGTTATTTTATGGCGACGCGGAGGGAAGCCAGTAAAAAGGGTAGTTTCGACAGCTTAATAGACACATATCGCAACGAACATAAAAACAGATATTGGTGACTAAGTCATAAATCAGTGATGTCAGTAACATTCACAGTGGGTCGTTATTATCATCACATTAAGGGGTGTCGCTTTTCTTCGTGTCGTTATTTAAAATTAATTCAATTCAAGACGTGTAAGGTTCAGCAAGGGTCATTGATTTCATCGCAAAAGCCAATCGGGTTTTATATGCAAATGATACATTTTCGGACGGTATTTCGTGCTTATTTGGTTGCAAATTACTTCTTTTGTCCAATGAAATACCGCGTTATATCTCAAATCAGCATTTGAATAAAGAAATATAAATGTCATTTACTTGTAACAGGTGTACAAGTAGTAAAGTATGATATAAATGAATTAAGCTTCACCGCAATGTCCATCAAAGAGTTGACGAATGTACCAAAAGTTACGAAAATTATCATCCCTTACCAGTAATTTGATAGGAGATTTTAAATACAGAAATCTCTCCGATGTGTCGAACTGTAATCAAAACGAATTCTTTCGCGAGAACATTAAAGTCCAATGGCTGTCCGACCAGATTTGATTCCTGTGGCACGTGGATTGATATGCTACCTCTTGATGTATCTGTGAATTTAAACAAAAACAGTATCTTAGAACGTACAGTTACTTCACCTTAACTTCTGTTTGGATATACCTGTGCACATTTGGACAAAAAACTTCGGTTGACCTGGTAACTCAATCGACTAGAGCGATAGTAATTCAGTCAGGGGTCCAAGGTTCAAATCCCCGTCTCGCTCCGCTGATTTCTTTCCCACTAAGAACACCGTTGTTGAGTATATGTTGTTATTTCATCTTTACTTTTTTTTTTTTTTATAAAAGTCCCGCACATTATGTGGGTTTTATTTCAGAAATGATTTATCAAAGCTATAGTTATGTCGGAATAAAAATGCTTACCTTGAAATATATTGATGGATAGAGAGGATCCGTTGGATTTAAATTCCTCCACTACAATCGAAATCCTGCTGCCATTAACAGTGCCTGTCGTAGTGCAGGGAACAGCGGCAAAGATCATCCAGTTACAGTCTGTATCCCTGATTATAATAAAACAGGAGAATAAACAGTGGGATGGAAAAAGGAGGAGAAAAAAATCGTTACTCGTTATTTATTAAAAAGAAAGAAAGAGGGAAACCATTGAGACACGAACACAAAACGGAAGTCAGCAATGACGGAAACAAAGTAAAAGGACTGTCAGGTCCTCCCCAATATGAAGACAAATCTCTGGATTGACGCTTGTACGTATACGGCAACTTATTGTTTCCTCTGACATCGTGAATGATTCGCTTTAGCCCTTCGATGTGGCGGGGTAATTGTATTGTCACGCGATGTCAATTTGTTGTCAAGTATTAACGTGATGTCATTACAATGACTTGGAATCTTATCGTTTCATCCCTCGGGTGTGCGTCGAATAATGTCGATACTTTGCCAGCTATATAAACACATGAACATTCGAATCAATTTTGTTATCTATCTTTGGGAGAAAGGTTTTTTTTTTCAATTAATAACGTCTTATCTTTAAAAACAGAAAAGGAAGATAGAAAACATGATTGATTCGAATGTTCATTTTTTTATTATAAAATGCATTCTGAACGTTCGTATAGATAACGCATACAGGTTACCAGGCTTTTCAGGGACTGGGCTTATGTGTCCACCAATCTCATTACTGCTAACAATAATAGTCTCGTCACGCCTGAGTGACATATACAGAAAAATATCAACCCGTGCGTCATATTTTGAAAGTTAAGCGCGATGCCTTGTAGTCACGTACGTATTTGGACATGGAACTTCGAAAGGCTTCTCCCGTAATTTCTGAACGACGAAATAAATTACATCTGTGAACCGAATGCACCTTGTCATCCTCAAAGGCGCATTATGTGTGATAAAATCGATGACGCAGGTTACAGTTCATAAAGTAATGACGCGATGATGACGTTTTTCAGAATAACTATGCTTGTGACCTAGCAGGGACAAATAGGTTTACCTCTTCCCTAGCAAAAACGGGGATGTATCTGTGAAGTCTGGTAGAATGTTTAATGTGTAATGAATACTCACTAAGAGATGATACATTATATTTGATTAAATAAATGCCTACATGCTGTATTCTGGGTAGTTCGACGAGAAGACGTATTTGGACTTTGCCTCTGCTAATAGCTGGAAGTCTTTGCATCCAAATACTGATGCGTTTTTAGCTATTTGTAGATCTAAAATAGTGAAAGATATATAAAGCATATGCAAATTTATTTTCAAGAAACAACGTTATGAATTAAATCAAGAATATTAAATTGATAAAGAAGAATTTGAATGCTTTCATTTCAGCAGTCCATATATTTAAATATAAAAAACAAATGATAAGAGTTTCTTTGTAGCTCGCTAGCGCTTTCACCTCTTTAGGTTTATTAAAATATGAATACAAACATTGAACATCCATTAACCAAAGTTCAAATATATTTTTGTACAGAATTTTCACATAATTTATAAAAAAGTCCTGGTGTTTTGGAATAATTTCTAAAAACTGAAAAAAATGTCCCAATTCTTACTATCAGAATTTAAATGCTTTAATTTAACAATCTTTATACATTGTACATACATATTTTGATATACATATACGTGTGGAATCACTTCTTTGCCCCAAATATATGTGTGTTTGTATACATTGAACATTGATTGATCGAAATATAAATATATTTTTGTGAAGGATATTTTTAAAAATTTATAAAAAGCGTTTGTTTATTTTAACTTCAATTTTCTTAAAAATAAAACAATTGTGTCCAGATTCTTACCTTTAGCTTCATATGAAATATTGAATCCTCGTTTTGATACTGATCCATCCGTTTTAAACTGTAGGACTGACCTGTTACTAGGGATATAATACGTTTTGTTTGACAGTATTTGTCGGAGTCCTCCGGCTGGTAAAAAATAAAGACAAAAGATCTCACAAAACTATGCATTGGACTAATTCGAAAGTCATGGGAAAACGAATGAATTAGAAAAACAAACTTGTACAAATTTCGAAACTCCCGCCCAACCTTCAAGTAAGCGTATAATAATATCCAAACATTTATTTTTTTACACTATTTAGAATATACGTATTTGCTGATAACTATAATTTGTAAGAACGTTTTATATTAAGTTCAATGTACGTTATATAAATACTTTACACAATAAATGAGTGTACAACATCCATTGCCATGTAATTAATTCAGTTTAGAAACTAGGTCCGGGGTCATTAGAATGAATAATGAAAACATTCCCTGAAAAGATAAGGACTTTATACAAATTAAGGGAGTATTGAAGTAAAGACAATTTTGGGTCAATTCATATGATGATGCTTTTAACCAAAAGCATATGCACAAAGTCGGCTAGCCTAATGATAAGTACACTCGGACCCGTGTGTTTAGATCACTCCGACCATGTAGTTGCATCAACAAAACGGACAACTACCCAACGGTCAAATGAAGGCACATGCTACGTACTATTGGTCAGCGGTCCAGCAAAGGAATCTGCATAGGGTTACGAGGTATAAAAGCCGTCCTCAGTCAAACAATTCACTTTGGAAATGATTTGAGATTAAACCCATTGTTTATTTGAAGCTTATTGTTATCTTTATTACTAATGCCCGATTCAATACGGTTGGCGGTTCATGTTGTATCAGCCATGACGAGTCTATAAGGCATTATCTTCATGTGAGCGAATCGTTGACAATCGTTACTATGTATACAAATGTTTTATACAGCAGATCAGTTCCTGTAAAGGATTCCGTATGTTAATTATAATTACCGTACTTTATAGTTGGGGTGTCCAAGCGATCATCAGTCTCAACAACAATTGTTTCTAACCGTAGCAGAGTACAGGCAGTTGAGGTGGCGATATTCCATCTGCACATGGTGTTGCTGAAACAGCAATGGAATTCCAACATATGTTATTTCATCACATAACTGGCCAATTTGACAATGTTACACGGCAATGTCACGGCAATGTCATAAATATGGAACACGTGTTATTAACCTTAAGTTGCTGCGATTGGTCAAAAGATATTCCTACTCTACTACAGGTATTTCTATTATTAACTTTACTACGTTACACATTTTCTGTTATGTTAAGATTAATCTAAAATGTTTATTTTATGATTATTTTTTAAGTTTCATTTTGAACTGTCCATTATTACAAAAAAAGGCCACCTCAAAAGACTTTGCACTGCGCGAAACGACAATTGTATACTCGGAGCACTTTTGTTTTGACCAACAAAGAGTCAGTTCATTTAAATTTATCAATATAATATGGTAAATAAAATCTTATATTCGTGTCCATATCCTATTGATTTTATCAAACAAGCTCAATAATTTAATATGACATTGGCCTAAAATATAATTCTTCATTCGTGTCCATGTCATACCGAATTTATTAAAAGAGTTCAATATTTTGGTTTGACACTCGCCTAAAGGCTCGTCTTAAAGGCTAATGTCATATCAAATTATTGTGCTCGTTTAACAAAATCAGTATGACATCGACACGAATGAAAGATTCTATATTTATTCATATTAAATATAATTTATCTACCCTAAACGGGAAAATATCACCTCCACCATTACATTTCATGTTTAGCGACAAACCTATGTTGAACGATTTGCTTTCGTACAATTATTCATAATCATACTTTCCTGATTTACAGTTGCTATAGAATATGGAACAAAGTAGGTTGTGCAATGTAACATTCCACATAGCCGGTATAGTACTCACTGAGAGTAGACATCAGGCAATCCAGGCGAGGAGATGTACTTCTTCCTGTACGAAGCTTTGACATCTATACCTGATGTGTTCACACATAACCAGCATAAAAAATATACAACTTAATTACAAATCGTTTGATATTATCTATTAAGTTAAACGTAGTGTTCCATCACTTTTGTAATGTGAATATTATTTCCTAAAATATCAAAAAATTTACAAAGATTCTTTTTCGCATATTGCCAGTAATCATACTAAGATATGAATCCAATCATATTTTTTTTATCTGTTGTGTTCATGGATCTCTTAAGAATTTCTGCTTCATATAATGACAAAATAATAAAATATCATATCCATATTTGATGCTATACATAATGAAGTTGATCGAGCAATACAAATGTATAATTAAAAACAGAGGGGAGATAACTGTTGTTTATTGAAAATATATTATTATTTCGATAGTTACTTACTTTAAACAACGACTTTTTGTATGAGGTCATAAGGGTAAGAACAAGTACATATAAGTGAGCACTATTCAAATATGTTAAAAGATTCGAACTACGTTAAAATATGGAATGATATCAAATGTTCTATTTAAAAACGGGTTTAAAAGAAACCTTACCCTTAAGTCTTCTCTCAAACGATACCTTTATTCAAACCTATTTTGTCAATGTTGGCCTTAATGGGTTAGAATGTGATTTAAACATTTAATATTAATTTTGGACTCATTCCTGACCATTTTACACTAACTAAATGCGTATAATTAATTATCCTGACTGAATAACACTGAAAAATGAAGGGTACAACATCTTGTATTTCGTCAATGATACCATAAAATCAATTGGGTAACCTGGAAAGCTGTGCGATAAAATGTTAGTGTAACAAAGTTTGAAATAATTAAAGTATTCCTCTTTCCACTTTAGATGACGTTATTTCTGCATATTATCGAAATCCCGATAAGAGATGAAAGCAGAGAGAACACTTGTATGTAAGTAGTTGGGAAATAGAAATTACCGTCGGGTTTAGAATTTGGCTCTGACCCTTGGAAAAGGTTCTGTTTGAATTAAATTGTACAACCAATGGTGAATTTTCTCTATCCTTAATATATACATATGATAGACTATATTAAAAATGCTATGACTGTCATTTTCGTCATGCAGGTACATAATGTGATCACGCAATGTTAATGTTGAAACGTCTGAATACCTGTGATAGAATATGAAAGCTTAAAACCGGAATGTGTGTTACTGCCATCAGATGTAAACCTGATTGTAACGCTCTCACTTGGTATCATATGTTCCGATGTAGTCACAACGTACTTTTCTGTGCTTGACGAACCTACACAGGAACAACAAAGAGAGACTATGAAATTTACTAAGAAATTATCAGCATACAAGTATTTATTGCGTACCATTAAAAGGATAGAGGAAAGACATGGACAATTTGTCAACAATCTAATAATAATGTTTGTTTTTTTATAACTGAACTAACCGTACTAATTTGATGTTTCGTATAATTTTTAGAAATACCATTTAAGTAATCTATAGGTACCAACTCTTTTCAATATACATGGGAAAATTGAATTGTATTTATTCCTACTTTTTCAAAATTGTTTTTAATGGAATCCCATTTAACATAAATATAGATAAAAAAAATATTTATTTTAAAACAGTTATGAAACAAGTTATATAACTTATATTATTCTCTCTTGTGTGCCCGAATGTAACCGCGCAGGGATCTTAATGTTTGGGAATATCGGAGTACCCTGGAAAACCCAAAGTGGTCGGACAGGTGACCTCATACCTGTTCACGTCCGATCGGGGAATCGATCCCTGGCCGCCTTGGTGAAAGGCAAGTGCGTTATCCGCAGCGCCACCCGACCACCCGACATATATAATTGATATATGGACATTGCTGTTTTATGCATTAGTTATATTTGTTTTGTTAGTAAGTGGTTATATTTTAATGAACAGGTTTAAAAAATAGGCTAGACATACCGTATCGAAGTCGAAGTTTGTCGTACTCCAGTTCTAAGTCAAGCAGTTTGACATCAATACGTATCTGTCCGCAACCAGCAGGGTTCCGAATTATCCAATAGCAGTTCAGATCACTGGCATATAAACATAGTTTGAATAACAGTAATAAAAGATAATGTGTAAATAATCAATAATCTGCCTAGCTACCATATCAGAAATGTTAGAAAAAACTTATTGTTATCATGCAANAGACAAACAAGAACAATTCATATTACTGTTATATAAATAATTTCAGATGACTATCACAAAAACTATCAGATAACGGTCAAGGTAAAACAATCAGATAACGTTCTTTCAAAAAACAAATCCGATCGCTGTAAAACAAAAATATTTAGAAACCAATCATATGAGAGCAGTTCAGTCAATTGTAATAGAAATCAATTCAGGCTGTTGTCATAGATTAGTTTAGCTAGCTAAACAGTGCAATGTAGAAATTTTAATATGTCTGTATTGACCTTATATCTCTGAAGTAGCTGCGTAACAGCGGCCACAAAAATAAACTAAAACTACACATACACTGTTTCAGCCATACGGGCCTAGCGATATAAATTAAATAAGGAAATGCCGAGGGATCATAAAACATGTGTGTTTAAAACAAATATTCGACCTCTTTTGACTGAAACAATAGTCATACATACTCAGCGTAGTTATCAGGAAATCCTGGTGAAGTGATAAACTGTTCAGTGGATCTGGCATTTAACGTCACACCCGACCTCCTGCATAGGTCGGTTGTCCTCTGATAAGTTGTCCTCTGATAACCTGTAACAGTGATCACAATTGGTCAATCATGAGCAATGAAAATTTAGAGCGATCATGTCCGGTTATCTAATAACTTCTTTAACACTTATAAACATTTCAAAATTCAATGTAATAATTCATAACCTTTTTTGATTCCCTTGAGTTGAGTAGACTAAATATCGTATAAAAAGAATGAATGGATTTAAACGGCATATACGGTAGTATGCACGCTGTTGGCAACGAGTATATTAGTTTTGAAGCTCCAACGCACACCATAGTAAAAGCCCGTATTCAACGCATTTTCCGATTTAATTTTCTTAATAAATCGTTAGTATTGGTTAACTTTCAAAGGATCAGTCAACGTATGTAACACAACTTACATGGTTTATTTAATTAAATTACGCTTTTTGACTTTATATTGAACATTTTCGTTTCAAAATACCGTAAATTCTCAATATAATCCCCCTCGTATTGTCTCGTCAACATATTTCAACGTCCCTATTTGGTTTTCCTTTATAAATTTTCCTCATTTTATCGCCGAGCCCCTTTATAACACAACAACACATATACTTGCTGTACATAAACATGTATAAATTATGAACAACGAACCCTTTTGACTTCAGTGCAATTATAATTGGGTACACATACGCATACAAAAACCTAGAAACTTGAAAAGTGATAAATATGTTGTTTTGTGCATGACCATTTCTTAAGATTGATTTTATACTTTTGCTGCCATCCTAGAATTGATAGCTGTACAAACCATTGTGAGGGGTTTCCACATGGATAGATAGTCTGTCTACTTTGATTGTCTCGCTTACATACTTTGCACGCAGTGATTGGCTACCTGCTGTCTATGATGTCACCATTCGTAAAGGTACAACTGGGGAAATTAATTGCAAACAAAATGCGATTGATAAAGTCAGAGAGATCCAAATGTTCATACATGATTGTTGGATATTGTTCTGCTTTTCCATGCACGGCGGCGCTGTTGTTTGGTTATGGTCGGAAATTGATAAAAATCAGAGAGCTCCGAAATGGCGTTTCAGGGTCATATTAATACCAGAATCAGACGGAAAACCAAGACCAAGTGCTTTGATGTGTTTCTTTCGTGTTTTTTAATGCAACTACCTTATTGAATTGATATGAATACAAATGTATTTTAGCACAAGTCTATATCAATAATAAACTTTGCATTATGATTTAAAACAAAAATCCAAAACATACCAAACATACCGATCCTGACATTACCAGTCCTGGTTTAAGTAAAAAAAATATTTGGTCCCGGTTTTTCCTGTCCTGGTTTTAGTATTCAAGGTCAAATGGGTCAAATGATTTAAAAAAATAACAGGTTGTTTTGAATTGAC